CATGTCATCAGCTTTGAGCAGAGTTAAGAAATTAAACTTTTTGGGGGCATTAACCTCCAGTAAGCTGCAATGACCCAGCAAGTGTTCACAGAAAGGATGTTCTCATCAATTCATAGCATCCTATGTAAGTAGGAAAGAAAAAAGTACTCTGAAAAATCTGATTTGTTCAGGGAAACAATCCTAGCAGTTTTTTTGGTGAAGTCAAGAGAGAGACACAGGGGACTGTGGCACTGGTTGTGCTGCAGCTGTGTCCCTCAGGGCTGCAATCATTCACTTGGTTGGCTCAGCAGAACTATTTATCTCCAGGTATTCACTGCTGGTCAATAGAAACATCTTTCTAGGTGATTCTTTGAAATCAGATAAAAGTGTTTTCTTCCACTACTTCACTTTTTGTTTGTAGCTGGTATCTCAGAAAGGTCATAAAACTGCAGATACCATGCAAACAACTCATCTTTTTAAACAGCTGGCTTGTATCTCCAGTGGAGCTACTGCAGCACAAACTCTTGACAGCTTTTAGCACTATCACTTCCCTGGAATTTGTTGTGAAGAAAGGGAAGTGTCACATAGGGTTCACCATGATGTAGCCCATTATAGAGACTACATCTGGCATATCTGCAAAACTACCTGGGTCTAGAGAGGTGTGTCTGTGTGTCCCCTGACTCAGGGGAAGATAAATATAATTTATGTCCAATCAGATCAAAGTAGGGTAATGAGAAGTAAACCCAGATCTTAAAATGCTTTCCCTATTTAGGAGTATAATGTTGCCTGTATTTAGGTGAATGAACCCCTGAATGCCTGCTAATCTTAACAGAAAATTGTAACAGGTCAGGAATATTATTAAAGTGAATAAAACACACTGAATGTAAAAAGGCAGGAGCTAAACTTTGGATGCTGCAAGTTAAATTGTCATGGCTGATGTTATTGCAGCACAGCTTGCTAATGACTAGGTCATTAGTTTAAAATGTTAATGAAACTTAGAGAGAGACTGAGAAAGCCATCATGAATGAAATGTGGCCTAACTTCTCTCACCCTAAAACTTTTGTTTTAGGCAATATCTGCCCAGTACCACAGAAAATTAACCTCTATGCAAATAAAGATGGCAAAAAGTGATTCTATAAAAATAAAGGCCATGCTCCAAAAAAACTCCTACATTATACTAAAAGAGATGAAGGTGGGATGCAGTATTTCTAAAAATGATGTCCCGTACATGTCAGTGCTAAGGAGCTCTAAACTTATTCTCCAAAATGCTGTTCATAAAAGCTCTCTGAAATCTAAGCCTGACATTGATAAACATGGTCAACCTTGGTGTTTTCCATGGATGTTCTTCACTGAGCTGACTCACAGCAGCCTGAGGAGCTCTTCCCCTCTCCGTGGGCTAAAACCCTTCAGTAGCAGTGCAACAAATCCACGAGTACACTGCCTTGCCACAGGCTGAAAATCCCACAGCACTCAGCAATTGCACAGGAGGAAACGCAAGTTTAGAAAACAATTTTATTAGACAAATTATTTAGACAAATTATACACAGAAAGCTCTGCCACTTGTAACTGAGGCCTCCAAAAAGTGTTTTGTGTATCTGTATAATAGGCAACACATCAAAATAGGCCTATTTTAAATATTGTACATGGTTAACAGGTTTTTTAATAGCTAAAATCACTGCAACATCTGGTATGTCCCTACGTAGCTTGTTGGAAAGAAATTTTCTTTTTTTTTTTTCTTTTCTCTTTTTTCTTTTATTCAGAAGTGTCGATGAGTTCATGAATGTTACAAGGGGGAAGCAAGTTGTGCATGCTTTTAGACACTTGCTACCCTCGAAACAAAATGGCCTTTTGCACGATAAGAATTCGTTCTGCCTTACACAGTAGACAATATTTGAAGATTTAGTACAAAAAACAGTGACAGTACAAGATGCTCCCCCAGAACAGAATTAGCATCAAAATAGAATAGATCTGAAGAATATACCTTTTAATTTATCCTAAAGCAAATCACATAGGCTGATTCCTATTAATCTTAGCCAAAGAATGAGTTAGATTAAAATAAGTGTATGGTTGCATTAAAAAGAAAACCAAACCAAAAAACTCACAGGATAAACTGCTTGCTTTCTACTTAACCGCATTTTTAGTTTAAGGATTACAAATTGAAAGCTCTTCCTACGTTTCTAACAGGTAACAGTGTTACTTGAAAAAGCTGGTGCCAAAGTGGGCGCCGGTTTTGCTCTCACTGCTGTTCTTTTTCTTGCTTTATACAGTTGGCACTAATGTAAAAAGTACATAGCTCCTCTAAATCTAACTTAACATAGAAAGGGTTAAACTGGGTGCCTGTTCATATTTTTTCCCCTTAGAACAATACGTGATTATAATTAAGGCCACATCTGTGTATCTTGAGGGCTTCTTTTTTTCCTCCACTCATGCCATTATTTTATTGATTAACTGTGCTGACTTGGAAAAGGATTTATTGACCTTTGACCCATGTTTAACTGCTCTAGAGCTATATCAGTTGTTCATGAACATGGTATACCTAAGAGAGAGTTCCATTTGTTTAATTAATTAAAAGGAAAATTATCAAGATTAGCCTTATAGAATGCTCAAAAGCCAATGCAAAACCTAACCAAAGGAGTTACATCTAGGTACAAATATTAAATTGCCCTGGATGCTCTAATAGAAAAGTATAAAATATGCTCTGTTGGCAAACAATGCAAGTCAGAATAATGTTAAAGCAACCTGTCTTTTCTAAATGAAAAGACACCCTGCACTGTACATCTCTCTTGTATGCAACACATTTTTACTAAAGCTTTATTAAATGAATTGCAATAGCAACGGCTGCCATTTTATAGCTATATATACATGTGTGTATATATATATATATATATATACACATACATGTGTGTATATATGTATATATATGTGTGTGTATGAGATATTAATTTATTTAACACAACAGAGGCTTCTGCCATATGATACAGTTTACTGTACATAAGAAAAACTTTTAACACTGTACAATCACATAAAGGTCATATGCACTGTTGCAGTGCAAAAGTAGATTTAACTGTAGTTTTTACTGGCATAGTAATGGCTTTTTGTAATCCTACAAAATTGCATTCTGGTATTATGGGGCCTGAATGATCTTTAAACTTCATTTGTTTTCCTTTCCTTTTTTTTTTCCTGTTTTTTTTGTCTTTTTGCCCTTTTTTTTTATTTTCCATTTTTCAAACTGCAGTGTTTGCCTTTGGTCCACAGTTAAAAGGATGCACAGCAGTGGAGCGCTGACTGGATGCAGCAGAGTACATGAAAAATACTTCAGTTATTGCAATAATAGTAAAAAAAGGCGGTGGGGGAGGAGGAGCGAATGCCCTTCTGTAAAGTAATCTTCAGGGTTTTCCTATGCATGAATCGCTGCTTGCTTCCTATATTTAAAGTATATGAAAAGCCTGAAGTAACCAAAACCTAACATGGTGATAAACCGAAGAATATGTGATTCAAGTAGTACAGAGAATAAGGGGAGGCAGAAGAGACCAAACTGTGAAAGCAGAGAAGAGGAGGAGGAAGAGTTGCTACTAATAGTTCTGATTCTTAAATAAAATAAAGAAAAAAAACCCCAAAACAACCCCTGAAGAGAAAATAACCGTCAAACAAATAATAATTAAAAAAAAACCAAAACAAAAAACCAACCCAAACCACAACCCTCAAAACCAAAAAGTAAGGAAAAGAAGAAAGGTTACATCCATGTTAGTCCCACAATATTACAGCTGCTCCTTGCAAAGGGAGTCCTAAATAAGAAACAGTGAAGAAACTCGTTCTGATGCTCAGATGGAGGTGCCTCGGTCTGGGTCGCTACCGATATTCAGGCCCAGGGTGGGAGTTGGTTGGTAGGGGATAGAGGACATTGTTTTGATGGGGCTTCTGAAAAATCCCCCGTTGGGTGCCCTGTGCCTGAAAGGGCCAGTTCGGTGCTCGGGCACGCTGCCAAAGGAGAATCCCGAGGCGGCTTTAGCAGACAGCGTGCGGCTCAGAGTCTGGATCTGCTCTGGTATGAAGGTGGTTGTGGTGATGTGAGTGTTCCTGAAGTCACTGATTTGCTCCAGTGCCTGACGTGTGGGTAAAGTGTCAATGTCCAGCGGGGTCAAGTCAATCGATGAGGTGGAGAACTGTTTATGGGGACTGTCGTCGTCTGTGCAGAGGCTGTTCACGCGCCTGTGGAGGTGCTCCAGGTCGATCTCCTTGTCATCCTGGGGAATGAGAAAAACAAGAGGCACCACTCACCATCGCCATTTGTGCTGGGCTGAAGTTTCACAGGGTGATCAGCACTGCTCGGGGAGCGCAAGGCACAACTGACTAGAGCTGGCTCTTGGCCGACGGTGTCTTGAGTGTCACCAGCGAGCTCCCCCACCGCCTGAAGCCAGGCGGGCAAAGCCAGACTGAGGCAGACCCTTACATCACAGCTACCTTCAAACCCTGGATCCAAACAACAAAACTCAAAGCACCACTGGTAGATTTTCAGGAAAAGGCAAGCTTGGAGCTAGGTGGGTTAGACTAGCAACAGCTGAATAAAAGTAAACTGCATAATCTCAAATGCCTGGAATGATGCCAGTTCTTCAACTCCGCAATGAGAACTAAATTTGGATGTCAACATGGGAGGCTCTGAGGGATCAGGTTGCCATCTTTGTCATCCTCTCAGGGTTTAAGGAAGGGCTAGAAACTTCTCAGGTTCCTTTTTGCCTTTATAATGTAAATTGTGGTATAGAAAAGCTGAACATACAGAGAAAAAACCCCAAGCACTGGTGACTCATTGACATCGAACAGAAAGGAGTACACCAGGCAATTTTAAATTACAATGCCAACAGAGGGATTAATTATCTCCTCACCTACAAAGAAGCAATTCCATCTATTCTGATGGAATTATACTTTTGTGGGTGAGAAGAGAAGGCAGCCTGATGTATTTATTATAATATATCATTGCTTCTCTTACCTCTGTCCCTTTTCCTTCTTAAATCTCTCTTCCCAGAGAACTCATTTCAACAGGTTTGTTTGTCATAATTGAGAATTTAAATTCATAGAAGTTAAAAAAGAGGAGAAAGCCCTAGGTGACCCAATAAATCACCTGTGTTGTACATACATATTTCTGCTGAACTGCAAAACTTAATTCCAAGCAGCATTAAGTACACACAGACAGGGATATTCCCTCAGTCTAAGTAGTGCAGCTCATTCAGAACAAAAATCAATTTCAACTAACCTTAAAATTTACCTTAATCTTTGTGAAATTTACTGGCTGTTCCAGGCCACTAGAAATATCTCACACTCTAGGACCTCACAGAGGATAATTAGGCAGCCGATAGATGTGCACTGATGACTTCCAGCCTTGATTACTGAAATTCATTGACTGGCTTGATCCAGAGCTCCCTGAATCAATGGCAAGACTCCTAGTATACTGAATTGGCTTGAGATCCCTCCTTTCTCTAGGAATGAAGTCAAGCACTCAGTCCACACCTAGAACAAACTGCAGGAGTTCATCTACTTAGCAGAATGGATCACTGAACATTTGCGCTGGCACCACGCCAAACACACAGCCCGACTGGAGGAGACTGAGAGGCCAGCTCCCCTCCAGGACTGCACCCTCCGAGGGCAGGGACACGGAGACAAACCAGGGAAAAAGGGGAAGGGAACAGGGTATCAGGGATCTCCCAGGGACTGGATGATCACTGACCACAAGGGCTTTGGTTTGAGCTCATCACGGGAAGGAAAAAATGCAGTGCTCATTCCTTGGACTTAGCTTTCTGTCTATCGTTTATTCACAGGTGGACATAGACATGGATGCACATAACAACCACACAGGTGACATCAAATCCAAACGCATTCACCAAACGCTATCTCCTCAAAAAATTTGGAGCTGCATATGGATGCAGGAGAACTGGGGCCACATCAGAAGCTAAAGAAATATACAGAGGCTCGATTAGTGTGTGCAAGTCATGACTATGTCTCTGAGGGACAGTCCTAAATATTTTCCTTTTTTTTTTTTTCTGGTTTCTTTTTTGTTTGTTTGTTTTTAATTTTGAAAAAAAACAAACATACAAATACTTTGTAATTTAAAGTGCCAATTGGGAAAAGATTGGAAATTCATAGTTTCTGAGCCTCTAAGATTAACTCAAAGTAGTCCTCTTTCTTTTACAGAGATGCATTTGGGGCTAGGGTCAGACCAGTGAAAAGATATAAGCGGTGATAATCTCCCATGCTTAGCCCACAACCCAATCTCCACCCAATCGATACACCAAAATGAGACCCACTCACAGTAAGATTGTGCATATCTCCATAATATGATCTTTCCTCTTCTCTCTTGTGTGATCAGTAGTGAAATATTCAGCAGTTTTCACATTTAAATTATCATCAGGCTTCAGAGTCAACATCCCATTGAGATTACTGGGGCGGTTCATACTTCTCTCAGAGCTACTGTTTAAGGCTGTCTGCAGACTCAGGCAGACATCAGTGAATGGGTTACTTCTGGCACGCGACCGAAATGTTATCTTCGCAACCATTAGACAATTTTTTTTCAGTATAAATGCTTGCATTCTGGAGCACAAGATGGCAGCCACCAGGAAAAAGGGTTGGCTTGCTGACCACAAACTGGCCCAATCTGACCCCCGATTCTGGACTAGTGGCCTGGAAGAGCCAATGGATTTCATGGAAGCTAAAATGAATTTTAAGAAAGTTAGTTAAGATGTATTTCTTTGCTGAATGACCCCCACATCCAGGATAATGGGGACATTCAGCACGTACGTCCACGTTAAACTCAGTTTTGAGCCAAGCTTTTCAATTTAATGTTGAGATGAATGTTTAAATGCTAAGCTAATGAGAATATATTAAAGATCAAGGAGGCCAAATTATACCATTTGTGGAAAGTACACACTTGAATTTCTCAGCATTTGAAAATTGAAATAGAAAATTTTATACTTGTGTAAAATATCTGTGTTGGCATATTTTTCTTTTCCTTTGTTATTGATTTTCATGTTTTGCACCAGATAAATATAAAGTGTTAAGTTCTGAATATTTGGGTAAACAACAATCAAGTAAATTTTAGTGTTTTAAAATAATTTACCAGGTAAAACTACATGGTTTCCATTCCTGAGAAACCCAATTTAAATTCTAGAGATTCCTTTTTTTTTTTCCTTTTAATAATGGTCCGGTCCAGATCTTGAACAAAAAAGAAAAGAAAAAGAAACAAAGAAAAAAGAAAAAAAAAAGCTTGGGAATTAAAACAGGCAAGAAAAGATTAAATGTATTTTAACATCAGTGCCAATGTTGTCTAATTAGGTGGTGTAATTAATCCTGCCTGATTAGACAGCATTAGATTAGCAGGAATAAACACAATGGAGTAACTGCAGAGAAGGCAAGACCACTGCACACAAATTAACATCAATACCCCACAAGCTACACAGATGTGCCTGAGCTACAGAGACAAAAAAGCTGTTTTTGACAGTGCTACATTTATGCTCTTATTTAGGTTTAGGTTTGGGTGTTGCTTCCAAGGATATTTTAATAAATCACTTTGTCCCTAATTTTCTTTTTAGCATTTTGTAGAGGTAAAAAGTTAATTATGAATAAAAGTAATTTGGTGCAAAGTTGCACAAGGCTCAGATGGCTAGTAGAGGGACAGGTAGATTACCACAGGAAGAAAAGCATTACACATGCAGGTGCAGAAGCAAACTCATCTCAGGTGTAAAATAACATATTTCTCTGTGGCATCTGTACAAGATTTTCTGAAACAAACCTGTACTAGGTTTCAAAAAAAATGTCTGGCCTGAACCTGAAAAATCTAATGTAGTCTTGCTTCCCTGGACTTCAGATGAAATCAAAAGAACTGAAGTTCATGGAAGTCTCAAGAGTTTAATGTTTCTGAAAATGGGCACAAGCTTATGCAAGAAGCTAACAGCTGATTTAAGGGGCAAATTTTGCAAATGTATTTTAAATGACTCAGCCACTGAGCTTAGGGGACATATTTTTCAAGAAGAAGCCAAGACACCTAGTGAGAATTAGCTGTCACCAATGGGAACAATGAACTGAATATTGATGTATTAATAATGTACTATTCCACAAGTAACAATTGTGTTTTACTCAGAATAGTTGCATATTTATACATCATCAATATACATTTATTTTTATTCAAGCTTTTCTAGAAAGAATAGCTGGAAAGATTTTGAGGAACATCATTTACGTTAAAAAATCAGGAAGCTAATGAAGTATCTCTGAATTTGATTCCCCACCCTCTCTAGTGCTATAAAGTCAAGGCAGCAATCTTTAGGGTGCATGAAAATTCCCCAGGAGAAATGGAGGGTCTAATACCTCTTTTGATGGAACCCGGGAGCCTTTCCTTTTATTCCACCACGTTTCCAACATTGCAATGAAACAGGATAGGACAATCCCTGCAGCGAGGATGCAGAAAACACCTGCAAAACTTTTTATGTCCAAGGCACCTCCTTTCTGTTTGGTATCCACAGATGAGTAAAGATCACACTGACCGTTCTTCGGCCACCACTTATGCTTCAGCACGTCCATGTCGCCATTCTGCTGCAGCTCCAAAATCCTTGGGGAGAAAGCACAGAAACAGGGGTTACAGTGGGGCAGCAGCACCTGAGAGTGTGAAGGTGGAAATCTGACTGCCTGCAACCTCCCCACGTGTCTTGGAAAGCCAAGCAGCAAATGAACCTGCACAGACTGATTTAGCCAGAAAAGAAAGCTTGGGTGTGGGCTTGCCTGTTAGGCTGAGCATATGGGTATCTATGTGCCACTCCAGATACAGCAAAGCACACTCAAATCTCTCTTTCCTTCTTTTAACAAACTCAGTGAAAATGCTTTACTTCATATACTATATTTTCTCAGTTGGCTTTTATTAGTCTAGGGCAACTGACTTTCATTGTCCATTATATATCTGACAATATTTTGCGTCCTAATCATTGGAGGAGAGACATTTCAATTAAAAAAAATCAGACGGCATATGCATTTCAGATTTACCATCTTATACACAACATTGTTGCAAACTGATCTTTATCGTCTTAACTACATTTGCTGCTTTGGAGAGAGAGCAAAGCCATCTTATTGCAGTCAGTGATGACCTAAAGCAGTCTTGCTTAATGTCAGAATGCAAGGTGATGATAAGTGGTTCCACAGGAAGGTTCCTTACTGTGGAATTCACTTGTCCTTGGACCTACATACCCAGCCTCATGCCAAATATTTCCTGGGCAGCTTGCAAGGACAACATATTTAACTAGACTTCCTGTGGGATGAAATGTTTGAGAAATGAGAATTGTGTTTGGAAGAATATTTTCATATTTACTCCATTTATTTCTGAGGAGATAGGTTTTTTTTTAAAGCATCCAGAAATGACTAGAGTAACAGCTGGATGCCCCTGATTATCCAAGATGAAAAAATTCAATGATTACACCAAAAACGAATAAAACAATGGAAAATTTTTCGTTCATGTAATGAATTTGTTTTTTATTTCAGTGTTGGAAGGCAAACAATTACTACTGCAATCATTTGACACAGCATGTAAAAAAGTCCAAGTGCACACAAACCAACAGAGGTCTGGGATATTGCTACCAGAGAGACTGCAGTGCACTGCAGGAGGAAGGAAAGCTGTCCCACTGTCCCAGGGCTACTACAACAGCTCAGTGCAGTGATCTCCATCAGCCTCAAAAGGGAGCTTGAAAGTACCTGGGGCCCACAGGGCAGCTGCTCTGTGCACAGGTGACTCAGTCTCTGATGCTGCTTCAGCTGGTACTTCTGTCCACAAGGTCACTTAATTTGCTATGGCACATCCAAATGGCCACATACTTGTCCTGAGGGCTTGCCAGGAATGGGAGGCATGGCACAGCCACCAGGGGCTGAAATCCCAGCACAGCTCTGGAAGGAGCTCCCACTTCCCACCTAGTACTATGTCTGGTGGCTGGGATCATGACCTGTTCAGAGGGGAGCAGCTTGTTCACCTCTGTGCTGTCCCAGAGGGAACAGTGCCCTAAAAGGACAGATCACAGGTGCCACATGAGTCCTTAGGGATGTCAGAACCACCGTGTTCATGTAGCTTTGAGTTTGTAAGAATGGGACAAATTCTGTGCAGTGCCTGCTGACAGTACATTGCTCAAGGTCCCACCCTGGAGAAAGGTATTCAAGGTCAGAGATGCCTGGAGTACATTTTGACCCTCCCAAACCCAGACACACCTTAGGGAAGCCTCATTCTGAAGCTTTCTGAGGGAGCAGGGATATCTCAAGGATGGGAGGATAATCTGGTTTGTTGTAAGAGACTAAATGAGCTGTTGTGAGCCACCCATGTTGAGATGAGCTTTGGAGGGATGGCACTGCAGGCAGGACTGCTGCCATTGCTGCCTGCAGCTGCCTCTTGGGAGTGTGTAGAGACCCAGTGACAGGAGGAGATGCAACTGGGATAAACTGGAAGATAAGAAATTCCAACCAGATAAGAGGAGAATCAGAGAGGTCAAACAGTGGAACAGAGAATTTATGGCATCACCACCCCTGGTGAAATTCAAAGACCCAGAGGGAAAGACCCAGGGCAAACTGACCTGCTCCAAACAAAGGGCTGAATTGGAGACCAGATTACTGCTCTGCAACTGCAAACAGGGTCCATACCCCACCCTGGATCATGGCATACAGTCCTTATGGAAAGAACTCACCATAGTTCTGGTTCTCACTGCCCTGAAATCCTGTACTAGGATTTAGGTGAGTATTTTGGCCCAAACATTCCATTCTGAGAGGTCAGCAGGAGCAGACAGCCAGCATAAACAGAACCCTTTTGTATAAGTTCTTGTGTAGTAATAGGAAATTAATTTTCAATGCCTAATCCAAACATACATAGTTTTATATTTAGGAATTACTGTACTATCTTCCCAAGGCAGTAACAGAACAACATCCATGGGGTTTATTTCTTCCAGCAGTGGCTCTAATCCCTGAGCAGGGTGATTTTCTCTCTTTTATTCAGTCAGGAATAGAATGAACCATCCAAATGATTGCTCTATTCTCATTAATTAAATGATTCTTCACTTGTCAGTATAATTCCTGATTACACAAGACATCTTTTTAACAAAAGGCATTTGCATAAAGACATTGAGCTTTGGCTTGTTCCTTAACGGAGATTTATCCCTAATTGTAGTCCTGGCAATTATTGGCAATTTTCTTTATGGGTGTAACATACAAGTTCAATTCTTTAAAGGAAAACATAAAACATGGAAGTAGAAATTGGGGATAGTATTGGTATTATTACATGGGAGAGCTCAAGAAGTGGAAAGCTTATAATGAAGCCATGTAAAACTGCAGCTGCAAACAGATGTTGAGGAATACAATATATATTGAGAGATATGATAAGAGCACTAATATCTAACTATGTTAATGGAATGCAGAGAAAGAGGGAGATTCTGCTTCTGTTAGGCTTCAGAAACACTCAATTTCAGAACTCACCTGTTTATGGAATCAAAAGAATAGTTAACATATTAAGGAGATTTAACGCTTCTAACCTGTTCCTAGTTATGAAAGTTCTGTCTTTGTGGCTCACTGTCAGAAACGAAAATTGCGCTTTTATAGAAATTCCAGGGAAAACAAAGGAGGAAGGGAGGTTCCTTGCAAGCAGGCACGCCTGCACACGGGTTCTGCTCTCCCTGCGTGCTGCAAGGAGGCTCCCACACGATGGCACTCTTTCCATAAAAATACCGGGATTTTCCGCAGCTCCTGGTGGCTTCCCTGATACGCTAATCAGACGTACCTGTTGGGTGGCAGACACTACAATCTCTTCGTTATTTGATTTCCAAATTTAATAAATGACTAAAGTAATAAGGCACTAACTAAATGCTCTGAATGATAATGATCTTCCAATGCTATAATTCCAGCCAAGTGCCTCTACTTCCTAGTCCCAGATTTTTACAACTGAATTTTTTCCTCAATGGCTCTTTTGAACCTGCTTATTTGTACAGACTAGTACTGTGAGACATAAGCCAGTGGAAATTAATAAGCAGGGTGCATAAGTTCGTGATGTTTTGAAATACCATAGTCTTAAAAAGCTTACAAAAGAAACCTGTATATTGAAATAATCCGATTTGTCCAAAAACCATGACCTTTAAAACTTGCTTATGGACAGAGTGCAGGTCTTAAATATATTTTTCTTTAGCAAGCAAAGTGTTAGAGTTACATTTTTCAAGGCAATGACATAAATTTATTGAGTGGCACAAATGAAAGGGTCTGTGTGCACTTTAACTGATTTGGCTCTGAATTCACAGTGCCCAGTGATGTCTCATGGATATAAACACAGAAAACAAAGCTGTCTGTGGTTTCCAAATCTAACAGGGATGTGAACAAATCCTAATGACTGAATGGGAATAGGGGTGGATTCCACTTAGTAACATACTTTGCTGTTGGCAGTGAAATGAAATTGCTCTCGAAAATACCCACAGATAAAAAACCCCCAACTTAATGTAATAGCAAGGTGGCACAAATGCTCTGAAATTGAGACCTCTGTGACAACACCTTTTTTGATCTAATTTCATTCTCAGCTATCAGTAGTGAGCATAAGATACGAGAGGCCATTTACAATGATATTGGAAATGCCAATGCATGTTCTGGGATGTCAAAGGTGACTGAATATCAGCTTCCTGCACCAGGAACATGTTGTCCACAGGGATAACTTCCCCACTGGCACTGATAAGGAAGAGGATGTGCTAAGGATGAGGTGCTTGGCTCTAGTCAGCAGATCAGACAACTACAGAGAGCAGATTTGCAGACCCAAGGTAATGAATGCTCACTGTTGAAGGTGGGGGGGGATGTAAATAATAAAAATAAAAATGCTTTAGTTGAGTACCTTTGGTGGGCTCTGCCTCAGGAGCCTGAGCCAAGGTCCCAGGACTTGTGCTGGCTCCCAGGGGGCTCACATGGGTCACCTTTGGGAGCACTCAGTGCTTGCAGATGGGATGGCAGCGACAAGACCTCTGGTAACTCCTGCAGTGGCTAGGCAAAAATCATTCCTCTGGCAAAACCTTCCCACTGGAGCTTTTCTATCAAAAATCTGATACAAAGTCTTCAGAATTTGGTTCTCCTCTTCAAGCAAGATATAAAAGCTGGTTTGCAAGCATCCTTCAATCATCAAAGTAGACACATAGGGACCCACCAGGAGTGTTTGTGGGCTTTTTACTTCAGTGAAGCAACTGCCTAAATCTTTCACTGCAATAATTGGAGTGATGCCAGTTCCTGTTGCATCTACCTGAGCAAGCTTTAGGTTTTGGCAAAGCAGGCTCCTCTCCTGGCAGCAGAGCAGCTCTCACTGGTGCCACCTGGAAGGCTGGCTCGGGGCTGCGGTGCCAGAGAGGGATGGCTGCTGCCTAGCCTGGCTGGCTTCCTCATGGGGAAGGAAATGGGAAATAAGAATGGAGAGGGGCAAGTAGGAGACTCTTGGAGTCCTTTCCATCTCCTTTCCCCTCTCACTGGTACCTCACTGTCTCGCTGAGACCTGGTGAGTTTTCATATTTCACCCTCATCTTGAGGCCTCGTGGGAGACACACATTGGTGCTCAAAGCCTTGACTTTGATG